GATGCTTTATGTAGTGATAAAGGAGTGGTGAGTGAACCAAACAATTTGGTAGACTACTTCGCTACACAGTTCTGATTATATCAATAAATAACCTTTTACTAAAGAGGGGATCTAACAATAAGTGGAAACAATCAAGCCAATAAAAAAATAATTTTTGTGAGGATCTGTGTGTGAGCACCAACACGATTGTAGAGGTATACAAAAATGTACTAAAAGCCATAAGAAACATGTCATAAGAGTAGAAAAAAATATGTCAAAAGGATATATATTCTTATTTAAAATTTAAAAACTCAAGAAAATAAGGAAAATAAGGAATATAGTATGAAAAAAATAATAATCACCGACGGTTGGCAACTAATATTAAGATTGGTACAACGACTGGCTAAACAAAAATCAAAAGAAAAAAAAGATGACGAAACAAAAATATTAAGAAAAAACTTACTTTAAGAAAAAAAGGAGGAACCCTAGTTTTCGAATCATATTTAAGTATATGAATATTTTTTAACAAATTATAAATCTAATCCAAATCTTATTTAAAAGAGAGAGGAATGAGGATTTTAGGGAAAGGAATGAGTGCTCCAAGTGGGTCTATAACCCATAACCTAAGGAAATATGAGGGAACAAAGATAAAAAATTTGACCAACCGACCAAACATGTTTTGTAACACCCCAAATTCCGAGCTAGTAGTTTTGAGTTTACCCGAGAGGTAAGTGAACCTCGTGAAAGTCATAAGTAAAGTTGTTGGACTTAATTGGGTTTGGATTTGGGCTCAATTAGCCATAAAAAGGAGATTTTAAATTGTAGAAAAACAAGGAAGGACTAATTGTGCAATTTCCCTATTTTTACAAAGATGAGGGTTTTATATCCCATTTTATTTCTCTTCTCTTATTTTTTTCACTTTTTCCTTCATTCATCTTCTCCAAGTTCCATAGCAAGGTAAGATCTTAAGCCATTTTTCATACTTCATTTACCACCTAATAACCCCAACAACATCATTTTGAAGATTCAAGCTTTGTGTTTTATTTTTGCAAGAGAAAGAGGGTTTTTATCATCCAAGCCTTGAGGAGAGTGATTGCTAACTAAAGGAGCTCTATTCCAGGATTCAATCATCAAGTTAGAGTATTTCTAATCCTTTATAGTATTAAGTTTTCATAAATTTAGAAAATTTTCTATGATTTGAGTATTTTAGTATTTATCTTCGATTTTCAAGAAAATCACGATTTAGGTGTTAATAATACGTTTTTATGATACCTTAAGACCCTAAACATCTTACTAAAGCTCCAAGATAAGTTTAGAAACCAAACCAAGTCATTTAGGATGATTTTTGAGTGGTTATCGAGCCTAAACTATTTCAGGGTTCGAGTATCGATAGTGAGATAAACATTATTGATACTAGTTAAATTGGGGCTAAAATTAGGGATTTCAAAAGGGAGTATCAATACTACTATGGTGAGTATCGATATTGTATTTCAGGTTGACAATATCGATACTGAGCCCCTTTTTTATAATAGAATGCATTTTTGGTATTGATACTAATAGGGGTATCAATACTTGACTTAATACTACAAGTAGAGTATCGATACTACTCACTTTGGATGGTCATATTTGACTTATTTAAGGCCTGTAAGAGCTAAGGATGATCCATAATAGTAAGACGTAGTCTGTGAGGGACATAAATGATAAGCATACCTAGAAACACTCGTATGAGCAGATTACATCATGTGTAACCATATTAAGCGTAATACACCGAAGTATCTTCAATCGAGGATGTATAAGGATAATTGGGACCGAGGATGTTTATGTTAGATTTAGTGGCAACGAAGAGCATGAGCTTCGAGAAATTTAGTGAACTCGGGAAAAATAAGTCTTTATTTTCAGTTTAAGAGGTTCTGAAGGGAACTACGATAAGATCGAATAGAGTACCACTACTCAGGAATGAACCCGAGCCAGATATTATGCTAGTGAATTCCACAGTTAATAAAAAAGCCTTCGCATAACATTCTAGATGAGAGAAAGAGCGAGTTAGTAGCTAGTGTGATGTTGACTTCACTTTAATTAGTCCAGCTATGTTAATATATAATCAGGTTACCTTAGTTGCCCTAGTAGGACATTACCAGTGTGCGAGGCACTTTAGGGGCTAACTAGGGTAATGGGCCCGAACACTCGAGAAGAGTGGGTTAATAATGTTAGTGTTTTATGGTTTCTGTGCCTTAGATATGCATGGGTAGTAATGTTTGTTCACTCCAGTTAGGTAAGCTTCCGATGCATGTAAATTCTGGTTTTTACCTCTAGGCTATTTCCTACTTAAGGTAGGCTGGGGTGTTGTTTCGATAAATTCCTCTGATTACTCCAGACCTACCTCATGTCTGTTTGTTTAAGTCATGCATGTATAGCTCCATCAGGCCGATATGTCAGATATGTTAAAGCTTGGCTTGAAGGCTATGTGAGACCGAGCAAGTGCTTCAGTTAGGTGAGAATTGTACCAATGTTATATGACACCGGGTTCCCCTCACTGATATACCTGATGGCTATATGAGGACGAGGAGATAATTCAGTAAGTTTTGTGAGAATTATGACGATGCTATGTGACACTGGAGTTCCCTCAGTAACTAGTGTCTGATGGCTTTGTAAGACCAAATACTAGTCAAGTTTGCATTCAGATAATGCACAATATTTCAGGTACACTTTTAGATAATGCACAGGATTATCAGTGTCACATTTAGATAATGCGTAGCAGTTACAATCATTAGGGTTAGAGACCCTTTCATTGAGTACTCATGGCAAGACCCTTAGCAGATGATTAAGGGAAGCGTGAGACCCCTACTTTAGTGATAGATCATTAAAGCCTTAAGTAGGTAGTACTCGATTTAGATCATGCATGTACCTACTGCTTCGTACTATGACCTCAACATGCTTATGTTTATGAAATTCTTATGCAGCTCGAAAAGAAGAAAAAAATTCTTAAACTTAACTCGATTGAAGCCTCAAACTAAAACTTGAACCTGGACCTTAAATACATGAAAATCTTACTGTATTTAAAAAAAATCAATATATAAATGTTAATATTATTAATAATTTATTTTAAAAAAATAAAATCTTAATATATTATGTTTTCGAGTTGCTCATGAGCTTTTCGAGTCAAATATCAAGTAGCTCATTTCGGCTCATTAAGAACTCAAGTCGAGCTCGAGCTCGAGTCGATTCCATTCTATATGAGTATTTATCGAGCCTTGATCGAGTCGATCTCGAGTAGCTCACGATCTGTCTCGTCTCATTTACAGCCTTACTTAGGTGCCTACAAAACAGAAGGTAAAATTTTAGTTTTAGAGGAAGATAAAGATAAATCAGAATTGATTGAATTAAAATTTCCAAACTCTTTTTCTTCATCTTCGTGACAAGGTTCAGGATCCATAAAAAGATTATAAGAAAAATTAGATTCAATATATTCATCAATTAAAGGGTCTATAATATCAACATAATTAATTTTTTCAACATGATTACGGCATTTCATTGCTTTATAAACATCAAATTCAACGATCTCACCATCAAATTCCATTGTCAGTATACCACTTCTAACATCGATCTTTGTATGTGCTGTGCTTAGGAAGGGTCGGCCTAAGAGTACCTCGGAATAAGAATCCGACCTATCATGTTCCATGTCAATGACATAGAAATCTGCAGGAGAAAATAATACATCGGCCTTTACTAAGACGTTTTCCATTACTCCCAATGGATAGATCATAGATCGATTAGCTAACTGTATGGTTATTCCTGTTTCCTTCAAAGGCTCATTAGTAATCATTTTATAAATAGAAAAAGGTATAACATTGATTGAAGATCCTAAGTCATACATTGCACGTTTAATTTTAAAATAACCTATTTTTCAAGGTATAACAAACATACCTTGATCATTCATCTTTGGTGGGAGCTTTTGTTGAAAAATTACAGAGACATGTTTTCCCAAATTTACCTTTTCATGCCCCATTAATTTCCTCTTTGTGTTGCAAAGTTCTTTTAAAAATCGAGCAAACCTTGGTACTTGTTGAATTACGTAAAGAAGAGGTATGTTGACTTGAACTTTTTGGAACACCTCTAAGATCTCCTTTTCTCTAGCTCTTTTATCACGCTTCATCAACCTTGATAGGAAGGGTGGTGGCATATTTCATGAGAAGAAATAGAAAGATGTGAATCAGACGTACCTTGTATTTCTGAAGGTGGTGTGTCCTCTTATTCTTCCTGATGTGCTACTTTTTCTACTGGAACTTCGAGTGAGATAACTTTTCCAATTCGGAGTGTAATGGCACTAACATTCTTTGTCAGATTTAACTCCGTTTGAGAAGGTAGTCTTCCTTATGATTCCAATTTTCCCAATAATTTATGCTAGTCGGCTTACTTGGTTATCTAACTCTAGAAGATGTGTTTCGGTTCGACTTTGTAATTTTTCCTGGGATGCAATAAACTTTTCTTGTGAAATTTTTAACCCTATGAGTTCCTCCAATGATGGTTTTTGCATTTGTTGTTGAGGAGGATAAGTTGGTATTTGATTTGCTGTATCGCTGAAGTTTGGGTGGTCTCGCCATTCTAGATTATAAGTATTGTTGTATGGGTTGTATTGTCTTTGTGGAGAACCTGGAAAGTTCCCTACGGCATTGATTTATGCATTGCCTCCTTCTTGTATCAGCAGGTAGCAATCCGTCGAATGGTTTAGCTTTGTACATATCCCACATGCTCTTATTGCTCCAACTTTTCCTGCAACAAGTGAATTAACTACTTCAGTTAATTTGTCTAACTTATTCTCAAGGGAAAAAGTACTTATCTCATGAACCCGTCGGCTGGGTTCACTTGAAAACTGTTGAGAGTTGGCTGCCATGGTTGAAATCAATTTCCTTGATGTTGTTGGGTTCATGTTGACTAATGCTCCTCCACTGGCGGCATCCACCATTTTCATCTCCATTGGTAAAAGGCCTTCATAAAAGTATTGAAGTAACGTTTGCTCACTTAATTTGTGTTGCGGACAACGTGTGCAAAGCTTTTTAAATCGCTCCCAAAAGTCATAAAGACTTTCTTCGCTCTTTTGCTGAATGAAAAAAATGCTCATTCACAACTCGCTTGCTTTAACCGATGGAAAGAACCTGTCAATAAAAATTCGATTCATGTCACCCCATGAATTAAATAAATTTGGAGGTAAATAAAATAACCAATCTTTAGCCAAGTCGGCTAAAGAGAAAGGAACTCTCAATTTAATTTGATCCTTGGTAACTCCTTGTGGTTTTATGCTAGTGCAAACCATGTGGAATTCCAACAAGTGTTTGGATGGATCTTCAGTATGAAAGCCGTGGAAGGTGGGAAGAAGATGAATGAGTCTCGTCTTTAATTGAAATGAAGTCCAACCACTAGGAAAATTGATGCATAATGGCGTTTGAGGGATAGGAGTTGTGGCTAGATCTCATATTGTTTGTTCTTCTTCTACCATCGGGATGTATGCTTCTGCTTCCGTCTCCGGATTTGATTCTGCTTCTGAACTCTGCTCTTGTTCTTCTTGTAACATCCTCAATATCGGCTTAGTGACTAGATTGAAAAATTTCAGAAATTGGTGATTAAAGTAAGATAATTGAATAGTTTAATGACTTACTTGAAGATATTTTATGCATCATTGTTAGTAATTATTAGATGAAGTAAAGGGTAAAATGGTCATTTGACATTAAAGATTTTTATTTTCCTTTATAAGATAAGGAAGCCCACGTGGAAGAGAAAAGAAGGTAAAACAAACTTCCAGAGTTCTCTTCTTCTTCAGCCGTGAGTCACCATTGAAAATGTGAGTTTTGTGGTTAGTTGATTATTTGTTTAAATTAAAGTTGGTTTATGATTATTGGATGATAATTAAGTTTAAGGAAAGCTTAAATTATCTTAAAGATAAAGGATGATGGAGTTATGAGAGATTAAAGATTAGGAGCTCTTGAATGAAAACTTGGAATAAAGTTCATAATTAGAATTAGATGTTAAATTTGACTTGTCATCAATCTAATTAAGAGATATGAAGTGATAGAATTAGATTTAGAACATGTTGTAAATTTGGTGTAATTCTAGAATTACATATGGATATTAGGATTTTGAGATTTAAAGGGGTGATAAATGAGTTCAAATGGGCTTAAGTATGTGTATTTGAGTTTAGTATATGAAAAGGGATAGAACATGAAGAATTAAAGTTGAAAAGAATGAATTTTAGGGTTTAAATATGAATTCTGTACTAGTGTGCATCGGTACACATTCAACTTGTACTGATGCATCAAGGGTAAATTTCCAGAAATTGTTCAGTGTGTATCGATGCACAAGAAGTGAATTGATGCACCCCTTAAAAATGGAAACATCGAATGCAAATTATGTATCGATGCATATTTAATGCATCGATGCACATTCTACAGAGTGTGCTGATCCACTTCAAAGGAAAAATAGAAGTAGATATTTCTTATAGCTTAAGAAATCAAGGATCGAATCATAGTATTTAGAAAGCTAATATGTATACATGATTGTGTAGATATTGATCGAGAGAAAGTTCCGTAATGATTGAAAGGTTAGAATTGATTAAGAGAAAGTAAGCATAGGAGTAGTTGATAGTAAGTGAGGCACATGTGACTGTATACTATTCGAATATATGTATTTTTACATGGGAATTAGACTTGTGATAAGTCTGTTCCCGATATTTGAATTTATGATAGCATGAATCGAAGCATGATTAGTATTATATACTATGTGAATGTGTCATGCTTGCATTACATGTTATGTGGTGTGCATTTATGCTTATATGATAATGATCTATGAAACAATACAAGAATATTATCTGAATTACTTGATAATAAGTCATAAGATGGCATGCAAATGTAATATCAGTTATAAGATGAGAAAATATGTATTTATATGTAAATGAGAAGATATAAGAACAAGAAACAAATCAAGTGTCAAAGGAATATGAAATCATATGAAAGTGATATAATCTATGTGAATAAATGAGAAATGATATGAGCACAAGTATATGTGACATGTGAATTATATGGAAGTGAATTTTGTGCCTATGTGGTAAGATTATGTGAAATGATATAAAGATAATGCCCATGTTATGTGTCATGAGATCTAGAGATATAGTTGGTATGCCAAGAGTCGAGGGATATACAGTGGTCCTTCGGAACAAATTTCACAAGCCCCTAGTGGGACCCCATACGAGTTGTGGTGACATCATAGTGCACAACCTCAATAGACTTACATAACTATAGTTCTCACATATGTACATGGGCTAACCAAGAGATAATAATAAATATATGATATATGATATGTATGCTTTTGGTCAAATAAATTGTATTATATGATTTAAATAATGATATGTATATTATGTATTTAAATGAGTCATGTTGGATAAAAACGTTAGGTATAAAAAGGATATGATTACAAGATATAAATGATAATTATATTGATAATGAAATAAGGTTAATGATGGAAATGATGAATGATATGTATATGTGTATAGTTGATTATATGTGATGTTATATTGTTGTGGGTGATAGTACGATATGCTATGTATATGCGTGGTTAAGTAGTTAGAGTTACTTTTATACGTTAATGCCTCACTAAGTCATAGACTTAGCGTGTGGTTGTTTCACACGTAGGTTACCGAAGCAAGAAGAGAAGCTAAGAGAAACAAGACAGGTCAGATTCTCCTTTCCATAGTTCAGATCAGAAATGCATTTAAATTATATGTATTTTGTTATATGAAATGTAGTTGACATGTAAGATAAAAGATTAGTATTTGTTACGCTCTGATCAAATTTGTAAAACCACACGTTTTATACAATAAAGATTATTTGGGTTTCGTTGGAATGTTAAACTGAATTTTATTAGATTTTGGCAAAGTAAACATTTTGAACAGTCAATGTGACACCTCAGACTCGTATCCGTGTCGGGTACGGGTTGGGGGTGTTACATTTAATGGTATCAGAGCTAAGGTTTAGCCGATTCTAGGCTTAAACCTAAGTCAAATGAAGTTTAAAAATATGTACATGCCAACTCCAAGTGAAAAATTTATGATCTGATAGTGTAAGGAGTATGTTGTCTTGTTAATATAATAAGATTTGTATGATATAGTAGAAATTGTTTATAGAAATTGTTGAAGTGAATCAATGGCTGACAAATCTGATGGTGATAGCAATTCACTTGCCCTAGCCAGGCAGGATGAAAAGCAGAAACCTCAGAAAGTGTCTTATAAGATTAAAGGTTGATTTCAGAAAGTTGAAATCATCTCTGAATAATGATAGAAAGTTTTCACTGTTTTGAATCGGAAAGGTGATATGGAGAAAGGATATGATTACAAGATATAAATGATAATTATATTGATAATTATATTTTTTAGTTTAAAGTTGCATCCATTCAATTATTTCTATTAGATTTTCAACAAATTATTTTCATAAAATATTTTAACTATTCATAAAAAGATTCTAACCTTTTGATTCATATCCCCTCACCTATAAATAGGTTAGTTGAGGCACAATCTTAGACACAACTTGAGACAACTTTGAGACACAAATCACAAAGTTGAATTAGGAAATCATTTAGAAATTCCTTTAAAATTCATTCTTTCCGGTGATAGAGAAAGACAAGATTGTGTTCGACTGATCACTACAGTTGTGCTTACTGCTCTGATCGTTTGTTGTTGTATCTTGGGAGACCGACGTCCAACGTTACTCAAAGCACCGAAGAGAGGATGAATTTGTCATAAGGAAATTGTTCATACAAGCCTCAACAAAATTCTTCTTCGATTTATGTTACTCCACTCATCCGATTCAGTGTCTAAATATGAGTAAACCAATTTCTTGCCTCTACTTTAACTTTTATTTATTTTGTTTTGTTCGATTATATAATAATATTTATTATTATTATTATTTTATCTCGGATTAACTTTTTTCCTAACAGTACCCCACCGATGCTATCCCACAAACAACATACATGTCTCCCTTGTCGATTTACAATGTCTCAAAACAACAGAAATAAGTTCAATACCATCGGATGCGACACTTATGCATATCTCAAGGGATTCATCGGAGACAAAAGTTATAGTGCCGGGTGTATGTCCATATGTAATCGGTTTGACGACATGGTGAATGGATCTTGTTCGGGCTTCAGATGTTGCCAGATTCAGATTCCTGATGGACTGAAAACCATTGATGTTGAAGCTAATAGCTTTAACGGTCATGTGAATGTGTCGGATTTTAACCGTTGAAGCTATGCTTTTATTGTTGAAGAAAGTGGATTTCGGTTCTCTTCGGATTATGTTCGATCCATCCGTCCAGATCAAAAGTTTCCAGTGTCCCTCGATTGGGTTGTAAGCAATGAGACGTGCGACGAAGCTGCCAAGAATTCATCGAATTCCGCATGTCATCAGAGCGAGTGTTACGGACCTGTCGTTGGTTCGGGTTATCTTTGCGAGTGTCCAGACGGTTTCGATGGGAATCCATACCTCCCTGAAGGTTGCTTACCTTTACCTAATGGGAATCATGAAAAATTGTTTAGGTGTAAATTATTCCACTAATGGAGTATATATTTACCGGTGTTTTTGCGATTAAAAGCCGCTAAATGACCAATTTATTACAGTGTTTCTGTCAGACACTCTGCTACATATCAAATCTATTGTGGCTTTTGTAGTCCTATATATAAAATATATTACGGCGTTTCTGACTACAAATGCAGCTAAATATTTAATCTATTGTAGCGTTTGTGGTCAGAAACGCCGCTAAATATCTAACATGTTTAGGTCTATAAATATCAAACCTATTGCGGCGTTTGTAGTCTAAAACGCCGCAATATAACATGACCTTTAGCAGCGTTTGTATACTCAAACGCCACTAAATAACATGACTTTTAGCGGCGTTTATTAGTAGAAAATGCCGCTAACAGTTGTGGCTTTTTTGTGCCGATAACATTTTTAACGACGCTTTTAAACGCCGCTATAGGACAAAAAAATGCCGCTATAGACCACTTCTGTTGTAGTGTGTTTTATTTTAGGGTAAAAAACTTTTTTTTAATGCATTAATCATTTGTTACCTAATGATTTTTATCCATGG